GGCACCCCAGAGCAGGGACAGGGCACCCCAGAGCAGGGACAGGGCACTCTGGTGCCCAGCTGAGCCCAGCCCTGTTGGGGCCTCTCCCGCAATCTGTGCTGGGGGCTGTGAGTTTTCAGAGGAGTTTTCAGAGCAGTTTTCGGAGATATGGGGTGTCCCTGAGGGGGAGGACAAGGACAGGCAGGCAGTCTCCTACCAGGACTGTGGTGACAATCAGAGATCTGTTGCTCAGCGAGTCCGTGACGTTCGGGCCTCGTCCTCTGGAGATTTCTGTGATGTTCAAACCCTCAGAAGGGCTCCAGGCTCCCACCTGAAACAAACCAAACCAACAAGTGAACCCCCTCCTCATGTTCCTCAGTCCCTTTCTTGCATTCCTCGCTTCCTCCCAGCATCCTACTGGCCTGGAAAAGGGAACTTCCTTCTTTCATCTACAGTAAACAGCAGCAAAGCTGGAATTACCATCTCGTCTCACCCAAGAGAACCAACCCTTCAGCTGCAGGTCACTCCAGTGGCACTGGTTCCACAGTCCCTGTGCTGCTGCCAGCTCAGGGGCATGGGCAGAGACCAGAGACTGGTATTCTGGGGCTGAATGAATGAGCAATTTGCAAAGGCATTGCACAGAGCAACAGTCAGACCCCACTAAAGAGTCAAATCTGGGCAAGGATAGAGCACAACAAAAGAAGAATAACCACAAATTTGAGGTCATTTTCTTTCTTCTCTGTTACCCCACGACTTTGCTTTGGTGGGGAGGATTAAAAATGACTCAAACAGCTCCACAGATCCCTGGAAGGAGCTATTCCTGCCCTCTGTGCCATCTGTGGGCATTCCTAACACATCCCTTGTCAGGGCCCTGGGCCACCCTTCAGGGAAATGCCTCAGTCCTGGCAGCAAATCCAGAGGAAGGGATGGCAGCAGCCCTGCCCAGGCATGGCACAGGCACACCAGCTCCATTTCAGGTGCTCTGATTCTCTCAAGTTGTCAAATTTAATAAATTATTAGACTTTGAAGAAGTCTATTGATCCAGAAATGCCAAGCATGTCTCTATTTACCAGAAGTGGTCTGGGCAGTGCTAAGCCTGTTAACCTGATCTCTGCAGGTGCAGGGGAGGCTCTGGGACAAACTTTGAAGGCAGGAGTGGATGAAGGACTGTGACGGGGAGAGAAAATGTCAGGAAGGCTGGAGGGATGTGGGGCTGCTGCCAGCAAACAGAGCGGGGTGGCCATGGAGCCAAACTGACAGTGAGAAAAAACCAAACCCCACCTGGAAATGGGAACAGAACGATCCATCTGTAGGGTCAAACTGCGAGGTGGGACGCGCAGAGAAGCCAAAGGCAGCCAGCTCAAACCACCTGGGAGCCAGCAGCTTCCCATCTTTTATTTATTGCTGTTTTTAAGATTCTTCAGCCTCTTCAGCAGTCCAAGGGGAGAACTTGGTTTTACTGCATCCCCAGAAAGAGACTTTGTAATGAGCAATGCTGCCTGGCAAAAAAAAGTGTCATAAATTCTAGAAGAGTTTCCACGAACTTTGTGAAAGGTTTTAAATATTTCAGGTAAAACTGAAGCAATCCCCCATCTCTGCCTTGGATCACACAACAGCTGCAATGTCAAAAAATTATTATTATTGTGAATGGGAAAGGAGAAGCAAGTCCAAGAGGCCCCAGATTGCTGCACTGCAGCTCCAGACACCTCTGCCTTGCTACGTTTTCTTTAAGAAAATTAAATACATAGCACTTAAGACTGAATTAATCAGTTTAAGATATTAAAAAAAGGAAGAAAAAGGAAAAAAGTGCATTAAGAGAACTGTGCGAGTCAGATAGTCAAACTACACGTAATTAGGTTTTGTTAATACTCCTGTAATCCCTGGAACATCCAGGAGCTATGAGAGAATCAGGGGTTCAGTCCTAAAGCTCAGCAAACATAAGCTGTGATACATAATGCACAATCCGGGTGGGATTTGTTTGTGGGCTGGTGTTTTGTTAGTTCAGATTAACTATTGACAGAATCCCTGCTTCAACAGAGATTTGACATCGATACTTTAAAACCCCTCTGGAGCTGACAGGAAGCTTTCAGAGAAATAATAGTGGGAGCTGTGAAATCTCTGAATTATTGGAGACAAAAGCTGACGGGGTGCGCAGGGGTTTGGCGGCTTCCAGTGGGCTTGATGTGACACAGATCTGCAGTAAATCCAGCTGGTGCCAGCTGGGAGGGGAGGGGGTTTGACAGGTGATGCTGCAGCTCTGCTGAACCTTTGGGTTCCCGTGGTGTCAAGCACTGGCACGTTTTCTATTACCTGACCAACAGAGCTCTCCAGAGCGTCGGTGCTGCTGGACTCGGAAAAGGCCTGGTTTGTTTTTGGTTTAGACTCCAGGAACAAGGCTGCAAAGATCAGTTCTTGTGAGACGGTGGCATCTTCCCCCCCCTCCTTCCTTGGAGGTCACTGGGTTGATTTGAAATGTTTTCTTTATTCTGTACTTGACACCAAAAGCTCCCCACGCAGAGAGGGCTGTGGTGACCTTGTGCTGTGTTACTGAGGCAGGGAGCTGCTGCTGTGGGGGAAAGTGTGGCAGCAATTCCTGCCAAAGCCAAGGAAAACAAACTGGGAGGAAGGGGGATGGGGCACAGGCTGGAGGGTCTCCGGTGGTGCAGGATGTGTCCCCTCCAAATGGAGGGTTGATCCATGGCTGCCTCCAGCCCCGGGGCTGCCTCCCTGTGCCGAGTGATTAATTCCCTGGAAAAGTCACCTGTGCTCGTGGTCCACGTGCTGCAGAGTTAATTGAAACCCTCCCTGCTCCCAGCCGGGTGTCCCGTGGACACAGAACCTGTCACTGCCCAGAGGTGACAAGCCCAGCACTGTTCTGGCTGCCAGAGGCACCTTGTACCTGTTGGAAAGCAGACTCTGCTCTGGAAGGGGCCTTGCTGCCCTGCCAACTTCCTCCTGTACAGGTGCGAGACACCTGTGGCAGAACGGGGACACAGAGTCATCTCAGAGGGGTCAGATCACAGAATTCCTTGGGAATCACAGTCTCGGCTGCTCTGACCACTCACTGCTCTCTGTCTTCAACCAACTGATCTCACCTTGGAACTCACATTCTAAGGGCTTTAAGGCTTGCATGTTGCCTTTTTCTTTTCTTTTTTTTAAAGTAATTGAAGAAAAGGAAATTAAATCCTCAGGAACACCTGGGATCAGATTTGTGCATCAGCCTCGTATTTCTGTGCCCAGAGGGGATTTGCACTAATTTGGAGGATCCAAGGCTGCAGCCTTTTTGCCCTTGGCCCTCGTGCCCGCCCCAGCCAGCCAGGCAAAAACAAACTTTGCTGTTTTCCTTATTTTCCCTTAGGTAATAAAATAAAATACCCAGTGCATCCTCCTGCGAAATCCAGGCTGGAATCAGCCAGTGCTATTCCCAAGCCTTGGCCAGGTTCATGGTGGGAATTCACACCAGGTGATGCTCCCCAGAGCTGTGGCCTCCTCAGGCAAGAGCCAAGGGTTTGTGAGCCAGGCCAGCAAGAGGGAGTGGGACAGGAGATATTCCTGCCTGGCCTGGGCAGGGAAGGGTTACTGGATGCTCAGAAAGTTTCTTCTGCCTCCCTTATCCCAGGAAAGTGCTACAAGCACTTCTGCAATCTGTAATCCCACGCTCTGGCTTCAGGGCGAGTGAGTCATGGTTGAGGCGTGGAAAAGGATCTGAGAAATCCCACAAAGTGAATATCCTTTTATATAAACCCCAGAAACCTGGAATCAGTACAACACCAACCATTTCTCTGCTGCTTGAGCACCAGGGTTTAGCCTCAGCCACATGCAGATAAGACAAGCCCTGCCTACCTTTTCGAGTCCGTCTTCTTTGAGGCTGATGATATCCAAATCAAAATCTGTCCGTAAACCACTGGTTTTATTGAAGACAATTCGTCCTGTTAATCCTTCCCACTGGGCCTGTGCAAGGGAGAAAAAGTAGCAGGGCTGTTACTTGGTATCATAAATAATCTTTTGCCCTCCACTGTATGTTCTTTTAATTAGTCCTTATGCTGGATCTTTCTCCCTAAAGAGCCTGATTAATTAATAATCCCCCCATCACTGCTCAGGCTGCAGACGGAGCTGGAGATTTTCTTAACTCTCTTGCAGTCCTTGCTACAATTTCTGTTCGCACCTTTTGTGTTCACCAGCTGTTGCAGGATGTGATGACTCAGTAGAAAACACTCGTGTTTAGCAGGGCATCCTTGTGACTCTGTTTATCCTTGTGGTGCTGATAAAGGCTGGCTGCAGGGAGCTCCCCTCGAGTTCAGAAACAACCCCTTTGTGCAGAACCTACTGCTGCTTCCAAGGGGTGTGGAAGCTGAAATGGCCTGAACGCCTCCCTCTGTCCTTCCAGGTGGAAAGTGGAGCAGAAGAGGCCAAGAGCTTGTCCGTGCAAGCAGGCTCTGTGGTTTGGAAACGGGCACAGGAGTCTGGGAGTGGGTACTGCCCGAGTCCCTGGTTCACTCTTTGGTAGCACAAGGACGAGGCAGGAGCCCAGTGGGGCTGGAGACACCCTGTTCCTGGAGATTTTCAGTGCTTGGCTGGCCAAGGTCCTGCACAGCCTGGTCTGACTGGGGAGCTCATCCTGCTCGGAGCAGGACCTGGGGGTAAAGATGCCTAAATTCGGTTTAACCAAAATTATTCTGGGATTCTGTTTCTCTCGCACTGTAGACTTTGCAGCACCCCCAGAATTAATGTCTCTGATTTAGGAGGTGAGAGAGCCCCAGTGCCAGCTGCTCCCAGTACCAGGAGGTGTGCAGTGCCTGTGCTGCCCCGGACAGTGCTGGCTGTGCTGGAGCACCATCCCGAGGGGATGCTCCCCTGGGAATGCCAGGCTGCTGCCAGGGTTTGCTGCTCTGCAGTCACATCCCCAGCTGAGCCTCGGGCTGTCCCCTCTGTGCAGCTCCGTGTGCTCCCCTCGCTGGGAAACGTGTTTCCTTTATGGGTGGGGGAGCTTGAAATGTCCCCGTGTGATGGAAGTGGCACAGTGTATTCTCGGGGGAATGACTGGCGTGTCTCCCAGCAGATCTGCTGCTCTGGCTCTCCCTCATTAATTCCTGAGGAGCAGTGACAGCCTGCTCCCAGCCTGGCCCCCCGGGAGTCCTGGGAGGGCTGGTGTTTGCTCACTTGGGCGTGCAGGTGGTTTGCCTGTGGAGCCCCCCGGGAGCCAGGGAAAACACGGAATGTTTGCCGTGCCCGACTGGAGCAAACACAGCTGCGTGTGGAGCCCGGCAGCTCCCGTGGGGCTGCACAGCCCGGCTGAGGACCCAGCCCGGGGCTGAGGGACCAGCCCGGGGCCGCTCTGGCCTCAGGAGTTTGGAGGGAGCAGTGCTGGTGTGTTTGGTTGCAGCAGGGACGAGGCTCATCCCTGCAAGGGGCTGACACGGTGCCAGAGAGGAAAACAACAGGCAGGCACTGGAGTGTGAGGCGCGGGGTGATTTGCAAAAGGAGCCAACCAAACAAATTATTTACACTCTGTTTTGGCAGCCAGCTGGAATGATGCTCTGCAGAGGGAACAAAGCATGGAAAAGGAGAGAGAGGCAGGGAGAGGAGAGATTCCATCCTCGGTGCCTGTTAAGGGAAAAGTTCATTCTCTCTCTGCAGTGGGAACTGTTCTCCTGTTCTCCTCCCTTGGCTCTGTGTGCTCCATGTGCAGCTCCAGCAGTGCTGGGGTGGGCACAGTCTCATGGCACCGATGGCTCCGCTGGGCTCAGCAGGTGACACAGCAGCACAGCCCACAGTAACAACTGACAGTGTCCTCTGCTCTTCTCTTTGAAAACTTCAGAGGGTTTTATACCCAGCCTTTAAGTGTGGCCCAGTCACACACCCAATCCCTTGGCTCACCATGGGAGGAGCCACAGGTGCAGAAGGTCAAAAAGCACTTGGGGTAAATAAGTGGTTTATCACAAAGAGGGCTCTTGCAGGGTGTGCAGTGCCTCCCTCCAGCTCTGCCTTTGTTTTTCCTTAGGTGAGGGCTTGTTTTTGCAGACTGAGTGTGCACCCCAGGGCCAGTCTCAGCGACACATGGGAGGTTTCAGCTCCTAGGGGATGTTTTGGTGTGGCTGCATGGGTGTTATTTTGAAGGCAGTGGTTTTTTCTTTCTGGGTGCCCTCGGCAGCCTGGTGTGTGTCTGTGCTTCCACCCAGCTGTACCCGCCCGGGCAGGGGATGTTTCCTAACCCTGGACCTGCCAAGCCTCCTCCCCCCGTCCCTGTGCCAGCACCCCCAGCCAGGGGACAGCCAGGCCCCTCCTGCCGGGGAGGCTCTGCCTTGGTGGGAACTGCTGTGGTCGCCAGTCACGCTTTTACCTCCTTGATGAAGTTCATGAAGCGGCCGCCGAACCTCCAGGCCTTGTGGCGGTGGCACTGCAGGGAGTTCACCGTCATCTGCGGGGCGCGCTGGTAGCACACGGACACCACGTGCACGGCGTCGTACAGCAGGGCAGCGTCTGTCTAAAGGGAGGGCAGCAGTAGGGTGGCCATAGTGGCCCCCGAGCCAGGGGGCACTCGGGGGGGGCCTTGAGGTGTCGTAGGAGAAGGTGGAACCCTCCCTGAGTTACCTCCTGCCAACACCCACAGACCCCAGGGTTCCTCTCTCCGTGTCCCACCGACTATCCCTTGGCTCTTTAGACCAAAAACTTGGAGTTCTGTCTAAAATCAGTGATTTTAGAAGTGTCATTTGTCTGTGAGCAGCTATTCTGGTTGTCTCTTGCACATTTCCTGCTGTGGTGTCAAACAGGGAGGCAGCGATTTCTAAATGTAGAAGATAGTAACAGAGTTTTCCTATTGAGTCTGTTTTGTCTGAGTGCAAAAAAAAATCCTATATGAGAACATATTTTCCACACTATTTTATACATGGGAAAATAAGAAATGGGGATGTTAAATGGCTTGTTTATGGGCACAGAATTTTTCAAAAACGACCCAAACTGTCACCAAAATCAGGACCTTGTGAATTTGTGACATATTTCAGCATTTCAGTGATTTCAACTAGGGGGAACTTTTTTTTTCTTCCATGTAATATGATGGTTTTAGATTCAATATGAGATGCCCTATCTCACCTCCAAACACTGATCAAGAGAATTGGATTTATTTTTCACTCCAATGTGGTAAGACCTCCTAGTGAAAATGCATTATTTGCTGGCTTCACAGAGCCACAAAACAGATGCGAGTGTAGCAGCATCATAATAAACCACAATAAACCAAAATAACATAGCAAATAACTGGGCAAACATCTAACAGGACGTAGCCATGGTGAATATCCTCCAGTGTTGGCAGCCATCCCCTGACCTTCCCTTCCCTCAGCACCCGGGCATGAAGAGCAGGAGCCTGACCTGCCTGTGTGGGGGGGGTGAGGGCCACAGCAGGGACAGGCTTTGTGAATTTGGGGCTGGGGAAGAGCGGGGCAAGGACATGTCCAGGCAATTTCATGGGGAATTACAGACTGCAATGCCCAGCTGAGCCCGAGCCCCCACTGGATGGACACCTGGCAAACAAAAATCCAAGGCAGCTCCCTCTGAGGGAGCACACGGGGGCTGGGGAAGGAGGTGGCACCGGGGGCTCAGCTGGGGCAGGGGAGCCAGAGGGCTGTGTGGGCTCCTCCAACAACAAAAGGAACAGGAGGGATCCGAGCAGCCATTTCAAGGTGAAAGTCTGGGAGGCTGGTGCTGGCAGAGCTGAAGGGAGGGAAGGAGGGAGCAGTCAGCAGTTGCAGGGTCGGGGACGGCCTCGCAGGGAAGACAGATGGGCGAGCAGGTGCTGTACCTTCCGAGCAGTAACTCAGCGGAGCAGAGCTGCCATCAGACCCTAAAAGGAGTCATCAAACTGCAGCACAGCCCATCTCGGGGCAGTGCTTTGGTGCTTTGTCCCTGCACCAACCTGAGCACTGCCCGGCTCAGCCCAGCTGGTGCTCCCAGCACAGAGCCAGTGCTGCTGTCCTGGGGCTGAGGGGGGATGGCAGCTGGAGCCCTGGGACAGGCCTGGCTGCTGGGAGCAGATCTGTGGGCAGCTGGGCTGAGCAGAAGCGTTAACACAGCAGTGGGGTTCGGGCTCCACTGCCAGACTTGCTGCTTGGAGGGGCAGTTACTGCAGAAGGCAAGAAACTACCTCGGGGCAGATACCTGGGGTGAGTTGTTACTGGTGCAAGAGCCAATAAAAGCAACATTTAGGTCTTAACCACTGTTCCTGCCTTTCCTGCCCCCAGCCCCCCGTGCCCTGTTCGAACCTCCCGTACCATCATCACTCCATCGAGCAGCCCCAGCTCCGCCTTGGGCGCCGACTGCAGCCGCTCCATGGACCACTTCTCGATGATGGAGGACACGTGGGGGTTCTCCACGTTGAGGATCCGGAAGCCGGTCAGATTCACCCCAGAGTAGCGATATGGTTCTAGGTCTAATGCATAAAGATCCTTAAAAGAGAGAAACTGGTTTAAACATTTTGTTTAGCTTTGTTTTGTTTGAGTTTTTTTGTGTCGGTTCGTGTCTGTGTCTGGAGCGAGACAGCAGAATCCTCAGAAGGTGGGAGGGAGGACACATCCCTCAGGAATTCAGAGGATTGTGCCGTCTGTTGCCATCACTCTCTGCTTGCAGAGGCTTGGAGGTGTTGGTGGAATTTGGGTGCCGTATGTGCAGGTTCTGACACACACAGCGTAAGGGAACTCCTACCAAAGAGCCAAAGAACTCACTCTCTGCTTGAAAGAGGCAAATAAATTGTGGGGAGAAAATCAGAATCACTGCCTGTGACCCTGAAAAAAGGGATTTGCGACCCAGGGAGGGAGGATAAGGCAGAACTCCTGTATCTGAAGCTCCCGGGGGCCTTTCCACGAAGGATTTGCTGGGAGTGCTGAAGCCCACAGGGTGCTGTGGATGACAGAGTCACTCTGAATGCAGAACACCAATTTGCAGACTATCAAAGAGGAACTAAGACGCATTTCTTGACATTCCGACCAGCCTACACAGTCTGCAGATGAATGAGGGTGCCCTTTATAGGATGTAAAGAGCCCAGAGCCAGGCAGTGCTCGGCTCTGCTGGCTGCTGGCCCGTGAGCATCGCTTGGCAGGCACTGAGGGGGCACTGGGGGCACTGGGGGGGCACTGGGGGCACTGCTCTGGTGCAGCTCTGGGCTCTCCACATGTCTGAATATCAGCTTCAGTTCAGGGATTAACTGCAGTGCTCAGGAACTAGTCTGAGTAGGCTGGGGTTGGACAGCAGGGCAGGAGCATGTCCAGCTGCTCTGCTCCCCAAATCCAGGCAGCTCCCGAGGGGCTGAGCCAGGGAGTGAGTGGAGACAGCAGGCAGGAGGTGTGTAATGGCTTTGTTAATGGGAACATATTTAATGGGACATATTTAATCAGGGCTTGCCCTGAACAACTTCTGCAGGCATTTAATGGTAGTAAAAAGGGGGGAGGCAGGAGGGCAACAGCACTGTCCTCTGTGATGGGGTGTGAGGTGAGTATGGAAGAGACACTCTCTGCTCTCACAAGGGCCTGGAAACAGAGGTGAAATACGGCACAAGGGGCTGTGGCTGTGCTGTCTGTTGGGGCTGTACTCTGAGATGGGCTGTGCTGTGTTGGGGCTGTGCTCTGGGATGGGCTGTACTCTGGGATGGGCTGTGCTGTGTTGGGGCTGTGCTCTGGGATGGGCTGT